GACTGAGATTTGTATCTGCTTTCCACTAATACCCATAAATTTATGTGAAGTACAACTTCATATAATAGAGAAATAGAAGGATAATCAGACTGTTTTAACCAAAGGTTAGTAACTGGTTCTAATCCACCGTCATTCCAAAGGAGTAAAATGAGTCTGTCCTTGTTAAGAGTTATTGCCTAAAGAACAATTTCCAGTTTTGTTTGAAAAGAGACTCATAATAAGCAAAGCTCTTCTAAAGAGAAATAAAAGTAAAAATGAAGTTGAGCCATCTAACTTCCTGACCTAAAACCTACTACACAACTGTAATAATTAAAACAGCATAGTATTGGAGCAAGGACAGACTTACAGATCAATGGAATATAAATGAGAGAACAGAAATAAAACCATCAACAGATATTTGCCAAGGTAATTAAACTCATTAAATGAAAAAATAATAGCATCTTTAACAAATGGTACTGGCAAAACTTGACATCTGCCTACAGAAAACTGAAACAGGATATACATCTTACACCATATACAAAAAAACAACTAAAAGTGGATCAAAAACCTAGGGGTAAAAAGAAAACCATAAAGATTGTAAGAGACAAAACAGAAACTAAATTAAAAGCCCTGGACTATGGCATAAATAGGCTTGCAAACATAGCCAAAATCATACCACCTGTAAAAAAAAATATAAGATTTGCAAATGGGACCATTTTTTAATTTAAAATAGTTTGCATATAATATGCATTTTGTTTCATCCATGCACACTGTTTCACACATTCCTAAATGCATATTCTGTTTATGTGATAATTCCCATACATTTTGCTTTATAAAATTAATCACCATTGATCTATGTCCACTATCATACCATCTTTTCAAGTCCCTACTGGATCTTTCCTAATTCCTTCACCCACTCTCTCCACTCACCAAACTCCCTGACCTGGTAATATCCCTTTCTTCCTACCCTCAGTCCCCCTCACCCCCACCCTTTACCCTTTTGGACTTTTATACATTTCTTACTAATTATTCCTTTATTTTCACAATAATTCCATGTGACACAGTTATTCCACTTCTAGGAATACACCCCAAGATAAATACAACTGACACACAAATGGAGATTTGTACTCCAGGACTTTCTTAAAATCAAATCCCTGTTTGCATCACATATTTTTTCCAGTAGTGGGAAAAGCAAGCCCACAGATGTAGGGGGGAAACAACAACATTTTTCAATGATGTTTTAGATCAGAATCTCATAATAAAAGTTTACAGAACAGACCACTACAGAACCACCACCATATAAAGAATGATAACTCAATTAAAAAACGAGCAAAAGACATGAAAATATTCTTCACAAAGGAGAACATTTGGATGGCCAAGAACACATGAAGAAATTTTCAAAACCACTAGTAATAAGAAAAATGTAAATAAAAAATACCATCTCACTCTAGTAGTATTAACAAAGTTCACGAACACAGCCAACAATAAATGTTGGTGAGGATGTAGAGAGATTGAATCTCTCATGCTCTGCTGGTAGGATTGTAAAATGGTTTAACCATTATGAAAAATGTTTGGGTGTTTCCACAAAAAGCTGAACATAGAAACGTCGTATGACCCAGCTATTCCACATCTAGAAATATAACCCAAGGGATTCAGAACTGAGATACAAAGGAACATTTTCACAGTCATGTTCATTGTAGCGTTATTCACAACAGCAAAAAAAAAAAAAAAATGAAACAGATCAAATGTCTATCAACAAAAGAAAGATAGAGAAATTTTGGTATATTCACACAATGGAATATTATGTAGCACTAAGGAGCTATCATTTCACAAAATACCATGTAAGGTGGGAGAGACTAGGAAGCATTATCCTGAGTGAACGATCTCAGTCATATAAAGACAAATATAACATAGGCTCCTACTATGAAAACAGGATAACTGAGTAAGATGTGTATAAATATTCAAAAGGGAAAGAAGAAAATGGGGGTATAAAAGGGGTAAGGGGAGATTATAACCGAGACAGTATAGTTTAATAGGTAGATGTGGGTGAGTAATGGAAAAGGTTTAAAAGGGGCTTGAAAAGATGAGGTAAAATGAATAGAAAGATGATAATTAATTATATAACATACAATGCATATGAATGACTATATAAAACAAAAAGTACATGTATAAAAGATTATGTATGTGAAGATTGCTTTTATGCAGAACCAATTCAATAGTTTGGAAGTGTTGGTTTACAATGATTTAAATATAATATTGTGAAAACTCATTTTCAAACATCCTCAAAGTAAGCATTATATTTTTACCTTAAAATAATATTATTTATTGTAGTTATTACACTTGGGAATTTATTAGCTTATAGTGGGAGATTGGAAATCACATTTCAGTGTTATGTTGAGCTAGATGAAATTTCCAACATTTAATATTTTTGCCGAAAGAAGTGACAATTTTATATAGCTCAAATGAGTACATTTAGAAAACTTAAAGTCAAATAAAAATAAGTCTCTGCTTTGTAGATCTTGCTATGTTATATCAGGTTTATCATTTTCTAGATTTTTACCATACCAATTAATTATATGAACGGAAGAAGAGTATCTATGATTCTCAAATAAATTTGTTCAAAATAGGAAGATGTCCAGCTTGAAAGAGAATATTAAAAGAGTGTAGAAAAAGAAAACTGTTTCTGGACATTCAAGAGCTTTTTCTTCTTAAGGGAGACCAGGGAAAAGGATAGGAGCAGAGAGAACAGGGAGGACAGGGCTGTTTTTGTTATGTGCCATCAAGCTGCCTGTGACTCACAGTGACCCTTTGTATATTAGCTCAGAACCTTGACCTATCCTGAGCCAATCTCATTATCTCAGACAAACTTAAACCCATTTCACCAGTCACTGTATCAGTCCATCTCACCCAGGGTCTTCCTCTCCTGAACTGCCCCTTCACCCTCCCAAGCATGATATCCCTAGAGGCCATCTGCCCTCAGTATGTGAGATGGAGCTTCTAAATCCTTGCCTTCAGGGAACAGTTTGGTTTCACTCTCTCTAGGACAGACCTGTTTGTTCTCCTGGCAGTCCATGCTATATTCAATACTCTAGTATCACAACTCAAAGGCATCAATCTTTTTCTATCATCCTTGGTTATTGTTCAGCTCTCAAACACATAGCACATAAGTGTGAAGACCATGGCCTGGATCTGGGGCACCTTAGTCTCCAGACTGATATCCTTACTCTTTAGTACTCTAGAGAGGTCCCTGACAGCATACTTTTCCAAGGCAATTGGTCTTTTGATTTCCTGACTGCTTTTGCCAGGAGTGTTGGTTGTGGAGCAAAACAGTCTGAAATTATCAACAGTCTCTTCTTAGACTAATCATGAAGCTGTCAATTGACCCAGTGGTGGGAATCCTTGTTTTCTTGATGTTGAGCTTAAGTTTATGCATAAAACCTCATAGCCTTACCAACATTTTAGTATTCTAAGCAAGGATAGTGAAAAGAACTTTACCATTTGTTTTCACCACCATTCTTTTTTTTTTTTTAATTTATTTATTTTTCATTTCAATGAACATCTATAGAGATTTTGGAATTCCATTCATTCATTGTTGCACCCTTCTCTCCGCCCACCCGACCTCCACCCCTCAACCCCCCCGTTTGCTCCTCTCCTTGAAAAGCAAAAGAAAAACTCCCCCATTGGTACACAATCCCCCCTGCACCTCCCCCAACCTCACCCCAACTCCAAATATAGCCATTCTTTTTTATATACAATTTTTATTTCATACTGGTTTACTTACAAAGTTCATACACATTGTTTTTTTGTACCAGGTCTTTCTCATTTCCTTTACCCACCTCTTCCTCTACTCATCAAATTGTGAGACCCTATGATTAACCCTCGTCCATCCTTACTCCTCTACTCCCTCCTCCTTGGATATCCATACATGTTTTACTAGTTATTTATTTCTACAATAATGGTCTCATACAGTATTTGTCACCACCATTTTTTATGGGTAAGGATATTTCTATTTCACAAAAGACCCCCACAAAAGTAATATAATATTAAAATAAAAGAAAACTTTCCCAAGGCTGGTTGGACATATATTTGCAAATTACTGCCTCAAACCACAGAGAAATCAGAGTTAAGAAATTGTGCAGATTCAAATCTCAATTTTATTAGAAACCTTTTAAAGCATTAAATTGGTCTAAGTTAATTTTCTTATGTAAATCCTAAATATAGCTCACCAGTGACCTGCCAAGAGAGAAATTGACTCTGGATGTATTTATGTGCAAATTCCACTTGTTTTATGACCATGATTGACCCTGTGTGCTACCAAATTAAATGACACCTCTACGTAGTGCAATTTGAAGGATACTGAAAGGTTGAACTGTCACAAAACATGTACACTCTCCTATACTTAGGAAACTCTTAATCAAAAAGGGCTAAGACAGAAAATGAGTACCACCTTCAGGAGATAATGCTTCAAATGTGTAAATGTGATTTCCTAGTAGTAATTCAGCAGGGATTGCTTTTCTACATTACCTAGTTGAAATCTTAGCTCTAATGGGGAGGTGGGGCATGGAATTCAGGGCACTTCTTAGCAGGGAATTTTAAAGTTGGGAATCTAAACAAGTATGATTAACCAACAGGCAACAGCAAGATTCTATCACACAAAGAATAAAACTAGGATAATTAAGGTTCCTAGGGTTGATGTCTTGGAGCAAAAACCAAAAACACACTTTACAGTCATATAGAGCCTCACATCTGTCATGGACCCAAGTTTATATAATTACTAACTAATTTAGCCCTTTAAAAGTAATATTTTTATGAATATATATGTGTATTTCCTATCACTCTCTGATAACAAAGATTTTAGAAGAGAATATGTTCTTTCAGTAACACACTCCTAAAGTTTCAGATTATACTCAGCACAAATTACAGCCTATGAATTTTATCCTATTGTGTTCTTATGGGAACAACTCCATGTGAATAGTCAAATTTTATACTAATGTTGATAAGAAACAAAGTTTTCCACTTACTTGAGAACTGAATGGAGAAGCCTGACTTGCTGATGAAAAAATCACTGTCAAATTGCAGCGTGAGAGAGTTGAAGGTGCTATGGATGTCTTCAGGTAAAGCTGAGCCACTCCACTCCTTTAGCAAGATGTTGCTATCTACCGGACCATCCCAGACCTTGAGGATATCATGAGCCATCTCAGTGTCAAAAACAATGAAATGGAGGCTGGGGAAAGAAAATATAAGTTACCTATTAATTAGTTATAAAAATAGTTGTTAGTGCTAAGTTTGGCCTGCAACTCATGGTGAGTGCAGCAACAACGGTATAAAATTCTGCCCCATCCGACACTATCCCTGGTCTTGATGACAGAGTAATGCATTGCTTGTTCACTGTCTGATTTTTAGAAGGACATCACCTAGTCCATCTTACTCTGCAAGCTCTGCTGGAACCTGTTTAGTATTATAGCAACGTGCAAATCTCCAAAGAGAGTCACATATGGCTGTCCCTTCACCGACAGAAATTGACAGAGAATTGAAGTTGGCCTCCTACATAATAAAAAATATGCCACTGAGCCACCAGTGCCCCACTTATAATACTACCATCTGCTTATTGAATACCTGCCAAAGGCATATTTTTAATGTATTTCAGCTCATTTAATTTTTATAAAGCCTCACCAAATTGTGCCTATTTGTCAAATCAGCATGACAATAACAAGGGTTATAGAAATTACCTTGTGCAAATTAGAATATAGCAAAATGTGTCACCTAAACAGACATCACTAGTTAAGTTATATGAGTAATTTATGATGAGTAACTTATTTAAAGTAAAACAACTCATAACTTTTATATCTTTTTACAATTTCTAGATACTAAGCTTTCTAGAGTGCACTAAGCAAAGACAAGTTTGATATTGTTGGTTGTTGTGCTATTGTTGTTATGTGTCTTTGAGGTGCTTGCGACTCATAGTGACCCCTATACACAACAGCCCTGTGCTCTATCCTTAGTCAGCGTTTCTGTTTCTGACACACCTCTTTTTATTTCCCCAGTCACTGAGTCAATCTATCTCATCCAGGGTCTTTCTCTATCGCATTGTACCTACACCCTACACCCTTTAAGAATAATGTCCCTCTCCAAGGACTGGTCCCTCCTTGCAACATGCCTCAAGCATTTCAGACAAAACCTCAAAATCCTTGCCTCCAGGGAGAAGCCTGGTTTCACCCTCTGACACTGCTCAGGCAGAGTTCAAGTTGTGTTGTTGTTGTTAAGTGCCTTTGAGTCATAGACAACTAATAATGACCCTAAGAATGGAAGACCTAAACATTTGTAAAACTTTCATCGTTTCTCCAAGTTCATAGTTTTCAGTAGGCAAGCTATTTTGGAAGTTGATGCCACTTCTTCATTTGTCACATCAGTGTCACTCTGTTTAGCATCACAGTAACCACGAGTTATCTCTGTACAGTAAATAGACAGACCAGTGCTATACCACTTAGAAGAGTTCAAGATAGATTTTTAAAAATATCTACGACAGTGTTATTGCTAAAATGGCCCACTAGGTGGAAGTATCCATAGCAGGAAAAATTATTTGCAAAGATGATGAGTTTTATATCACAAGCCTATTTTTCTGTCTCTCTCTGAATGATTTGATTTGATGCATTTTTCTATAAATTTTATTTTCAGAAAAAATTATTTGAAATACCAACACACAAGGAGAAATGCATTATATAAACCATCTTCTTCATAACATTTTTAAACACATCAATTAGATTTGCAGATATTACCCAGAGCAATTTAAAAATCTCTATGTCTGAGGAAGTTCACATTTAGAAGCAAAGGCAAATATGTCATCCTATCTATGGCAATTCCAGTAGATAAAAATGTTAAATAAAAATGCCAACAGAAGTCAGTAATGCCTGAAAGTGTTGAGTTTTTCATGAACAGCTTACTGTACATCAAATGTAAAGGAGATGAAATTACAGTGGATGATATAAAGAAAATTATATAAATCCCATTTTTTTACTTGGCATAGTACTTATGCAAGGTAATATCTATATCATTATATATATGTGTGTGTATATATATATATATATATATGTGTGTGTGTGTGTGTTGGATTTCACAGTGAATGAGCAAATGAATTAATTTAAAAGTACTTACAAATCTTTTTGATAAGGGAAAGTATAGAATCTAGTGGACATTTACCTGTCAATATTAAGGCATGATTTGCTTTTTTATCGCTCTTTTTTTTAAAAAAAAAAAGCAGCACTTACAAATATAGTAGTACTTCCTTAAAACTCTGCTAATCAATTTATCTTCTCACCCTACATATTGAGCAGTGGTAGTAATACAATATGAAAGACGCAATCACATGGGTCATGTAATCCACAGGGAATTGCCCTGCTAACTCCGTATCAGGAGAAAGATGGACAATCGCTCCCCTTGTAGATGACAACCTTGGAATATCAATGATGTAGGGTCAGCTATGAGTTAGCTATGAGTTGAAGGTAGTGAAGAGCTGTAGTATATACTGAAAGTACTATGTATTATTTCCATTTATATTATTATTTCATCTAGTCTGTCCATTCGCTGTAGAGAGGTAACGCTCTGATGCTAAACACTGTGACAATGACTTGTCAAATGTGATGATGTTTACCCATGAGGAGTAAGCTTACTGCTTTAAACAAGCTCAGAAGCAGGAATGGCATCCACTTCTGAAATAGCTTGCCTCCAGAAACTATATGAACTTGAAGATGTTCAGTTCTTTCCTGAGTTGTCTAGGACTCAGTAGCACTTAACAATACCAATATGTCTATACTTAGACTTATCATATGCACAAAAATAAATGGTGTCATTTTGTGTTTGACAATAATTACATGATAAAAGCCAGAGTAAACTCACTGTTATCAAGTAGATTCTTATCAAGAAAACAGGCTATTCTCTACCAGGTTGTAAAGCCATAAATCTTTGTGGGAGAAGACTATTGATTTGTTTCCCCTGGGGCAGCTTGTGGATTCAAACCACACTTTGCTACCAGGAATCTCCAATTATGTGTTTGTTGTTGTTGTTGTTGTTGTTATGTGCTGTCAAGTCATCTGTGACTCACAGCAACCCCTACATACAATAGCTCTAAACTTTACCCTCTTCTGAGCCAGTCTTGCTGTCTCAAATACACCTACCTCCATTTCGCCAGTTACTGTGTCAATCCATCTCATCCACTGTCTTTCCCCCCCTGCTCTGTCCCTCCACCCATCTAAGCATTATATCCCTCTCCAAGTACTAAGAAGGATAAGTTTTACATGTATGCATTTCTATCATTTTTAAAGGTGTTTTTTTTTAATTCAACATTATAAGACATTTTGTTGTTGTTGTTGTTATGTGCCGTCGAGTCATTTCCGACACATAGCGACCCTATGCACAACAGCCCTAAACCCTGCTCTATCCTG